TTCAGGCAACAGAATTTGGAGGATTCTTGCTTGAGGGAAGAGAAGGAAGAGGAGGAGAGGGAGGGTGATTCCCCCAGGTTTCTTCTGGGGTCAGGGAACAAGGTTCTTTCATTGCTACCAATGGAATCTCTCATCTGAGCAACAGCATAGGATGTGTCCGAAGAACATTGAGTGACTCACACAAAGTGCCCACCCAGCAGCCCATGGAAAGAGCCGGGTGGTCCCAGGGATCTGAGAAGGCTGAATGATGATGGCTCCTTGCTGTGTGACTCACCTGTCACCTGCCACCATTCTGCTCACAACTTTTTTCCCCAGGAGAGAGGCCAACTGACCAGGACAGAGTCACACATGTAACAGAGTCCAGGGCTCAGTTCCTGGGCTGAAGAAGGACTGTCCATATCAAAGGGGACCCCAGGGCTGTTGGGGCATCATTCACAAAAGTCAAGACTACAGATGGATCAGGGAAGACACACATGGGTCAGCGAAACGCTCTAGTGAGTTGGGGCACTCTGTGGGGACGGCACTGAGGTATCCGCAGAAGCTTCTCCACAACTCAGAGTTTTCTCTTATTTTCCTCTTTGCCTTTTCTGTTTCATGGACATGAGGACCCCCAGGGCTCCCCTGGATAACTCAGCCACAGGGTGGCAATTGCCTGCCTTTGGCTCACTAAGCAGGCACAGCGTACAGGAGGGCCAGACTCAGAAGCCAGAGTGTGAAGATCAGCGGGTCTGCATCTAGATGTTTTCTTTACCTGGAGGAACCTGACCTTCCCCAGTGGCCTTCCTGGACAGAGTTTGTGCGATTTTCTCCAATGTGCATACTCCCTGGGATGCCCTCTCCACACTGAGTGGTGATTCCTACAGTCTCAGCGCCATGGCCTGGATGGGGTAGCCTCTGTGTCGGGCAGTGTCCTGAGCAGATGTGTCCCCAGGTGGGCCGTGCACTCACTCATCCCAAAGGACAAGGCCTAGAAGTCTCCAGAACCCTGGAACCTCTCCTGGCCCAGTTTCCTTCCTCCCCACGTTTCTCCCACTGAGTCCTTCTTGTAGTTTCTAGGTCCTTCTCCAGGAGGGTCATAAGCAATCCTTCCTTCTTTCTCCTTCTCCTGCTGCCATTTTGAGTTGATGCATGGTTTTAATTCCCAGGTTTTTTATCTTTCAATTAACTACCCAATGGCTTTGATTCTTGTCAGATAAAAGCCTTGGTTGCTTATTCTGATAGATGAATGTGTGTTAGTTTGGATACACAAATACCTCGGGCGTGCCATGGTCTGAATGTGTCCCCCAAAGTTACTGTGTTGGAAACTTAATCCCCAGTGCAGCAGTGTTGAGAAGTGGGGCCTTTAAGAGGCAGTGAGGTTATAAGGGCTCTGCCCTCATTAAAGGACAAATGCCATTATTGCAGGAATGGGTCTGTTATAGAGGGAGTGGGTTTCTGATGAAAGGATGGGTTTGGCCTCTTTCCCTTTGCTCTCTCTCTCATTCTCTGTCTCTCTCTCTCTGTCAACTTCTGGGTTGTTTGAATCCTTTCATAATGTGACTATATAAATGTATTTCTTGTGACTAAAAAAGGTGAAGCCCTTTGGTAAAAAGAAAAAGAAAGGGAAAAATACTCTTCTCCCCAGCGACATTGGGAGTTCAGTTGTGTAGTGAAGAGCCTGTTGATATCAGCGAGCAATGAGGTCTTCCCCACCCGGCCCCAGCCACTGTCACTTCTTGCTGTTCTGCTGCAGTCACCTCCTTGCTGGCTTCCTTATTCCAATCAACTCCCACTTCAGTCAGTGATCTTTCATAATGCAAATTGTGTTTTGGTGTGTGTCTACTTAAAAAAAGCTCCAGCGAGCTTTTCATTGCCTTTAGAATGAAATAATAAATCACAGCTCTTTATTCTGGTAGTCCAGAAGTCTCTGCAATACTCTCTCTGTGGGTTTCTCTCTGTCTCTGTCTTTCTCTGTCTTGCCCACAACCCGCCCCTCATCCCCTTCAGTGGTCACAGAGTCTAGAGTGTGATTAAATTATTATGCATAGAATCGTAATCCAAAGCTTACCATTTATTGATTACCTGCTATGCACATCATCATGCTAGATGGCTTGAATAGGTAATCTTGTTTGATGCCCACAGAATCTCTATAAGTAGGTATAATGCTGATTTTACAAAGAAGGAGGCATGGAGCAACATGCTAGAAGTCTCATGACCAGTAAGTGGCACTGCCAGGATTTGAGCCTCGATGCATCTGATTTCCACATCCACTGACAGGATACTCAGTAGCCATCTGGTTAGCAGACTTTACTCCTTTCCCTTGTCACACTGTGTTGTGGGTGTTAGTGTCTTCCCCCACCCCGGGCAAGCAGGTTCTTGGAAGGTAGGGATCTCATCTGTATGTTTGGTGTTTGTTTCCTGTACCTCACAGAGTGTGTGCACACACAAGAGAATCTCACAGTGTTTGTTGAGAGCATTCGTGTGCTGGGCGCTCAGTGGGTTCTGAGCCTAGGTGGGATCAGGGTGACCCAAACAATACAGTCCTATCTCATGGCACCGGTGCTCTTGAGCAGGGAGATGACTTCATGCTGTAATCACAAGCTGTGACCGGGCTGGGGAGGGTGCTGGGAACGTGTGAATCAAGGCGGGGGTGGTGGTGGTGGCTAGAATTGGCCTTGGGCAGGAGGAGTTGGCACAGAGAGGCATGAGTCGTGTGAGTCGCCTGGAACCATTCAGCTCTGTCTCACCGACTCACTGTGGAGTCGTGTCTAGTGGGGGTGCTCCTTGCCCAGTGATGGGATAGCTTGGTCTGCTTAGAAGAAATCAGTGCAGCGCTAGAAACATCTTTCTGTCCACTGATAACAAACTGTCCCTCTGTCCCTTTATCCCTTCCTTGTGCCTTAACCCCATCTCCAGACACTTCACTTGTTTTTTGACTTGTGCATCTAGCTCCAGCAACATCATGCCTGGAGGGACAATTGAAAGGAAGGATGGTGGGTGAGGCTGGAGTTTTCTCTACTCCTAGAAGACCTTTTTTTGAGTTGGAGTCTCACTCTGTCGCCCAGACTGGAGTGCAGTGGCCGCTCCTGGCCACCGCAGCCTCGACCTGCTGGACTCCGGTGATCCTTCCGCCTCAGCTTTCCAGACATTTTTTATTTTGTTCACTTCTGGGGAAGGAAGGGAGGTGGTTTTGTTTCTTTTCAATGATGCTGATTCTCTCCATTTGCTGGGGACTCACACGACTTGACACTGAGCACCTATTGCATTATGTACATTAATTAAAGGAATTCCTTTAATTCTTTCAAAACCCTAAGAGACAACCCCATTCCAAAGATTAGGACACTCTGGCGCCATGAAGTTAATTTGTCCAAGATCCCACAGTGCTCACTGCTTAGAAATTAGACAGTGGTGCCTTCTAGAGGGTTCTAGTGCTCCACATTAAGCCTCCAGCCTCCAACCTCGAGGGGAAAGGTTTCCAAGGGTAGCCACTCAAGCTTTTAAGACTCCAGGCTTGGCTAGAGTCAGGTTAGATACCGCTGCCCTAATGTGCATGTGAGATAGGGGTGGGGAGGGCAGGAACCCTCTGCTACATGTGTACCCTGCTAACCAGTGATAAAGACACGACCTTTGCTGAGGACTCAGTCACCTACTTTCCTGCCAAGCACCATCAACTTAAAAAATTCATTTTGGGCCAGACACAGTGACTCATGCCTGTAATCCCAGCACTTTCAGTGGCCGAGGTGGGAAAATCACTTGAACCCAGGAGTTCGAAACCAGACTGGGCAACATAGCAAGAACAAGTCTTTCCAAAAATAAAAAAATCACAACATTAGCCAGGCGTGGTGGCACGTGCCTGTAGTCCCATCTACTTGGGATGCTAAGGCGGAAGGATCGCCTGAGCCCAGGAGGTTAAGCTGCAGTGAACCAACAGAGTGAGACCCCAACTCAAAAAAAAAAAATTCATTTCAGAGTGCCATAGGATCACCAATTCAACTATTTTGCTGGACAATTTCTACCATGTAGGCTTCTCCTGAACCTATCAGATTGGAATTTGATCACCTGAATTAGAGGCATAACTGAAAAATAAATTCAAAGTGGTCATTATTGCCTGAAAAAAGAATTTTTATATTCTCACAAGCTCCTGCAAAGAATATTTCAACAATTTTATTTAGGCCTGAGGTACAATGACTCTAATTTCCCCTTGCCCTTCCAGGGCTGGTATTTCTGCTTCCTGTACTGCAGGGCGCCATTATTCCCAGATCCCTCAAGTGCCTTACATGGGAGAGAAGTGTTGGGTGTTTAAAGTTCTTTGATGGAGTTTGTAAGTATCCCAATTAGACATCTTCCAGGATTTTTTTTTTTTTTTTGAGTTGGAGTCTCACTCTTGTCACCCAGGCTAGAGTGCAGTGGCATGCTCATGGTCACTGCAGCCTCAACCTGCTGGGCTTAGGCGATCCTTCCGTCTCAGCCTTCCAAGTAGCTGGAACTACAGACGCACACCACCATACCTGGCTAGTTTTTTGTGATTTATTGTAGAGATGAAGTCTCACTAAGTTGCCCAGGCTGGTCTCGAACTCCCGGGCTCAGGCAATCCTCACCTCAGCCTCCCAAAGTGCTGGGATTACAGGCTGAGCCACTGCGCCAGGCCTATCTTCCAGGATATTAAGAATTCTATACATCACCTCACGTTGCCTTCCAGAGCTCTGTAAACACAAGGGCACAGATCCTTGATGGATTCAGGCTTGATTTATTTTTCCCCAAGGTGTTTAATCAAGGAGCATAAGTCATCAGCCTCCTCGAAGCATCCTCTTCTCCTTCCCTGGAGAATGTTGTGGCGTTTTTCTCATTTTTGCCTGTGCTTCTAAGCCTTTCAACGACGGGGGTCTGTGCTGAAACATCTAGAACTTGACCCCTAGAAAGTATTTTCTTCCCTGGCTGGGAGGGCAGCAGCCTGCTCCCAGCCAGGCCCAGAGCACAGGGGGATGTGTGAAATAAATGTCTGTTGTTGTGGTTTGTTTCAGAGCTGGTGATGCTGCTGGAGTGGTGGTCAGGCACAGAGTGTACCATCTTCACGGACCCGCAGGCCTACACCAAATATGGGAAGGAAAATGCCATTGTGGTTCTGAACCACAAGTTTGAAATTGACTTCCTCTGTGGCTGGAGCCTGGCTGAACGCTTCGGGCTCTTAGGGGTAAGTCGGACATGCATTCACCCCTCTACCCCATCGTTCTCCGGTTCAACAGCATCCCTTGCCTTTGTGCTCTCAGTCATTCAGAATTTGTGGAAGAAATATTGCTAACAAACTGCTTTTCATTCTTGTTTGCAATCAGGTGTAACATATTTTTAAGGGCAATAACACAGGGTATGCAGCGATTATGACGTGCCAGACAGTTTCTGAACAGTTAGTATATCTAACCCTTAAAGAAACACTTAGGAGTAGATGGTATACACCACCCCCTGCCTTTTTTTTTTTTGAGTTGGAGTCTCACTTTGTTGCCCAGGCTGGAGTGCAGTGGCATATTCATGGCCACTGCAGTCTCAACCTGCTGAGCTCAGGTGATCCTTCTGTTTCATCCTTCCAAGTAGTTGAAACCACAGGTGCATGCTACCACTCTGGAGAATTTTTTTGATTTATTGTAGAGGTAAGGTCTTGCCATGTTGCTCAGGCTGGTCTTGAGCCTCTGGGCTCAGGAAATCCCTTCGTCTCGGCCTCCCAAAATGCTGGGATGACAGATGTGAGACACCGCCTGGCGTACCCTTCCTTTTTTAATAAACTAAGTTATGGAGTTTAAATATTCTGCTCAGGGTCACATAGCTATAAAATGGTTGGAACTTGACTTCGTCTAGTTTGACTCCAGGTCATGCTCTTAAATTCTATGCTCTATAGCCTCTGAATTTTGAGCATTGTAGACTTAAGAAAGTTGAGTCCTGAAGAGAGAGAGTCTGAACTGCAGAATTCAGGATTATCACAAAATTATTTTTTCCAACTAGTTTGACTTTTTCTTACAGAAACACTTAGAAGTAGATGATATACTACCACCATCTCCCCCCTTTTTTTTGAGTTGGAGTCTCACTCTGTCACCTAGGCTGGAGTGCAGTGGCATGCTCACACCACCATAACCTCAACCTGCTGGGCTCAGGTGATACTTCTGCCTTAACCTTCCAAGTAGCTGAAACCACAGGTATGCGCCACCATGCCTGGCTAACTATGACTTGCATGCCTTTGGGGCTGGGTCTCTGCTGTTGACTTTTGTCGTCTTTAACCTGTGGAGCTGTGTTGCGGTTGAGCCTGTATCACATAACTGACTTGAAGTCACCAAGAGCACTCAGGTGTTCAAGTAGGAATCACAGTGTGTATTGGTCTGGGACCGAGAAAACTCCGACTATTTGCACCAGAAAATTAGAGATCAGGTTTTGCACCTGGAAACAATGGCTTTCGGGGAGACAAGGGGGCTGCTCACAGCACGCTGCCTGTCATAGCCCACGAAGACAAAATTATGGAGGTTAGAATATACAAGATTGGAGACGGGGACTATGAGACTGTGGCGGACAGATGGGACTAGACAATTCAGTGAGTTTGATTCCTCGAGGCAGGTGAAGACAGGCTCCTGCTAGCAGTTCTCCTTTGGTTTTCCTATTTACAGGAAGTTCCCAACATACGAACAAGTTCTGTTCCAAGAGTGTATTTGTAATTCCAATTCATTAAGTCCAACAGAAGTTAGCCTAGGTACCCAACTAACATAATTGGCTATATAGTACTGTATATATTGAACAGGCTATATGACACCTGGTGGAGAGAAATAATACATTAAAAAAAGCAAATGTGCTTCTTTCAAGTTTGCAACTTGAAGGTTTGCATGTAGGGGACTTACTGTATTCTCCCAGTGTTAAGTTGCTCTCTCTCTCTCTCTCTCTCTCTCTCTCTCTGTGTGTGTGTGTGTGTGTGTGTGTGTGTAACTCTAGCATCTTCCTTTCTCTGATTTAGAGGCCTTGGACAGAGATCTCAGTTAGTTTTATGGTTTTATTCTTTCTAAGGTGAGATCATCCCCTAGAATATCTAGTCCTAACCCTTTCATGGATGCCAGTGATGGATGACATGGTCCATCTTCTGTGCTAGAGGAAGGGTCTCACTGCCTATGAGTCTCACTGTGGGGGCACCAGGCTTACTAACTGACACCTAGACTTTCTGGCATGCCCATGCCTCTTGGAACTCAGTAGTTTGGAGGCACACAGACATCCAGAGCCAGCATTGAAGGAGCAGGAATACATGAGTGACAAAGGTGAACCCGCTGTGTGCGGAGGAGAAGCAATTCATGGGGAGGAAGGACCCAGGTCCAGAGTCAAAGAGAGACTTTTGGGGAGCAGGGACTGAGTCTCAGCCTCACATAGGATTTTGCTCCCAAAGCCTTTGGAATCTGGAATCTGTGAGAATGGACCACTCTGAGCACAGGGCAAGGGTACTGAGGATGGCAAGTCAAATCAACGGAGTGTACATCCTGCCTGCAGCGTAGGCTGGCTCATCTCCAGCTTTGATTTCTTTTGAGTTGGAGTCTCACTTTTGTTTCCCAGTCTGGAGTGCAGTGACATGCTGACGGCCACTGCAGCCTTGACCTGCCATGCTCAGGCCATCCTTCTGCCTCAGCCTTCCAAGTAACTGGAACCCCAGGCATGTGCCACCATGACTGACTAATTTTTTGATTTATTGTAGAGACGAGGTCTAGCCATGTTGCTCAGGCTGGTCTTGAACCTCTGAGCTCAGTTAATCCTCTTGTCTCTGCCTCCCAAAGTGCTGGGATTACAAGCATGTGCCACCATGCCCAGCTCAGCCTTGATTTCTTAAATGACACCATGGTTCCATGGTTCCCTTGATCACTGTGAACACCCAAACACCTGACGCTGTGTGGAGCAGAGTGTGAGCCCTGCCACCCATTCTGGGAGTTGAAGTGTCTCGGGAGACTCCACCTAGAGGTGAAGTGGCAGGTCTGGAGGCCTTAGGATGGCTCATGCCTCTCCCGTTCTCATTGCTCCACGGGACTCTCAGGTCTTCTGGATTCTCACCCAAGTGCTTCCTCAAGCCCTGGGTCTTCTCTTCTCTAAATGCCAGAGGAGTTGCAAGCGCCATTGCTGTGCAAATTCTAATGAAGCCACACCTGAAGAAGCGCCAGCTCCACTCAGGGAGAGGATGAGGGAGTTAGGAGCTACCAAGACACTGGGCAGTGCCAGGAGAAGCCACCAGCCTATGCCCACCTCGTGAGCATCCTCCCAACACTGCAGGGGACAGCTTTGCTACCTGCTGAGCTGCGGCCCAGGGGAGGCGCTAGACTGGATCATCTCTTCTACTGGTCTTTGAAGAGATAAGGACCAGCATCATGGTTTTTGCTTTTTTTTTTTTGAGTTGGATTCTCACTCTGTTGCCCAGGCTGGATTGTAGGGGCACGCTCATGGCCACTATAGCCTCGAGTTGCTGAGCTTAGGTGATCTTTCCACCTCAGCTTTCTAAGTAGCTGGAATTATAAGCACGTACCACCACACCTGGCTTATTTTTTGATTTATTGTAGAGATGAGGTCTACCCAAGTTGCCCAAGCTGGTCTCGAATCCCTGGGCTCAGGCAATCCTTTCACCTCAGCATCCCAAAGTGCTGGGAATACAGACTTGAGCCACTACGCACAGCCAGGTTTTTGCTTTTTAATTTTAAATCTGTTTTTTTTTTTTGAGATAGAGCGGTGACACCATCATGGCTTATCACAGCCTCAACCTCCTGGGGTCAGGCGATTTTCTGCCTCAGGCTCCCGAGTAGCTGGGACTATAGGTGGGTACCATCACAACTGGATCTTTTTTGGGGGTAGAGATGAGGTTTCACTATGTTGCCCAGGCTGGTCTCAAACTCCTGGCCTCACGTAATCATCCTGCCTTGGCCTCTCAAAGTGCTGCAATTATAGGCATGAGCCACCGCACTGGACCCCATCTTGATACATTAATTGTTCAACAGTATCTTTTGTCCTCAAAGACCTTCAAAAAAATACTTCTTCATCTCTTAAAAAAAATAATGCTGAGATCTTTCTGGAGTTTGAGGAGTTTGCTTTTTAAAGAATAGAAAAAATAGAAAGCTCTTGACCAGGCATTTTTCACCCTCACCTGTGGCAGCCCAAGAGGAAGTGAGTTTAAATTGAAGTCAATGACATGTGCGGAAATTCTTGAAGTTGATATCATTACATGTAAACTTGGTTTTGGAGGGAATGTAATGAAATTCTTTAAAAAAAAAACAACAGAGGCTTTCAACCATTTGAAAACACTCAAAATCCCATGTGGCTGATGGTCATTCTAGTGACCTGGGCACTGGTGCACTTCACAGCATGGGCCAAAGGCACTTGTGATCTTGGAGTCACATGCTGATCCTTTCCTCCCTGGAGACTAGTGTGACATATGGGCAGCTGAGGGTGCTTGCCACAAGAGTTAAATAAACCAGGCGTGCAGGTAGGAGGGCCCATTCCTGAGGCTTCGGGTCCCTGCTAGGTTATCTCTTTGCCTAAACTACCCTGCAGGTTATATAAGATCATGATCATCAAGTCTTTGGGCAGTGCCAGGCTCCGGCCAGCACTCCATAAGCAGTAGCTATTATGATCAATATTTATCTGCTGGCGGGTTGTGGGCTTGGAGGTTGATTCTGCGGCCAACTGGAATATTTATCTTTAGATCCTTAGAGAAATCATATGGGTTAGTTTTCTATGGCAGGGTGATGAGTCCCAGAAGTAGCAGCTTAAAGTAAGCGTTTCGATCATTACCTCCATTTGTGTACTCAGGAATCCAGGAGCAACTGAGAGGGGATTTTGGCAGGGGTTATTCATGAGGGGGCAATCAGCTATAACCAGGGATAGTCCCATCGGAAGGTTCAACTGTGTGGGATCTGCCTCCAAGCTTATTTGTTTTGCCAGGGCTTAATCCCTAGCATATGGCTTCTGCACAGGGTTTGGGACGTGGCAGCGACTTCCCTCAGGACAGAAGCCACAGGGCTTTAGCCACCAGAACTCGGAAGTGACATCTCATCACTTCCATCATACACCGTTTGTTAGAATGAATCAGTCGGTACAGCCCATGCCCCTGGGAAGGAAGGTGGGTTGCACAGGGTGTGAATTCCAGGAGGCCGGGACCCTTGGGACCCTCTTGGACACTGTCTGCCCCACCGTGACATG